CCATCGACCTGAGTGACATTAACTTGGCCACGCCCACATGATCACATGACCACCGAGCCCCGCCCACCCAGCTGGTCATTAGGGCAGAGAACTTGTTGGTAAATTATTTGAATCCCACCACTGGTCTGTAGGGTAAATGAAATTCTTTGTCTATTGATTCAAATACGATTTTTCTTAGGTGTCTAATTCTGGCTTAGCATGCTAAATATGCAATAGAAGAAATACTAAATAATATCAGGGATTTTACCATCTGATCATTTTATAACTATCATGGCTTCCAGTTTATATATATGCCCAATTCAAAGTGCTGGCTTTGATAGTGAAAGCTCTTACTGTTTGAGACTATGACTTGAAATGATGCTTTTCTCTATAAATACCCATATGGACCTTGAGATTATTCCCAGAAGCCCTTATTCATATGCCTTCATCAATGCCAGTAAGATTACTAGGAAAAGGATCTTGACATTTCGGTTGCGCAACCTTTATCTGCTGGTAGGTAGGTAAATTAATAAAAATACATTTGTTTCAATGTTTTCCCTTGTTAGCCTGAAGGCAGACTACTATATATTGATTTTATTTTCTGCTGCTCAAGTATCCACACAATTTGTATTCTTTGCATCAGTGGCTTATCCATAATTGGAGTAAAGAACATTTCATACAATTATTATTTACAATAATTATTAATTATTATTTGATTTATAATGATTGATATTTATTTTCTGGGTTTTGCCTGGAGAGAGTTCACTCATGAATGTTTGTTACTCAATCACCGAAGCTTTCTTCCATGTATGAAGCATCTGTCAGGGCTTGGAAGTTATCCTAGGAGTCTATATAGCGATGGAGGTTCTGTGGTGTTTTGAGTGATGTATGAATCAGGTGATATGATTGCTGCACATTGATCCTGTCTATACATTTGTACAGATTGCTCTCAAAATGTACATCCCATCTATGCATGTTGTGCATTTTATTAATGTTCCCACTGTGCCGTAACATCTGAAATTCCTATTTAGTTTGATCTTCCATAATCAAAATATATAGGTCTGCAGTTTTTATTGATTACAGCCGGTATATATAGGTATAATTCTGCATGTTTGGAAGGCATCAGAAAATAGCAATAGCACTTAGACTTATACAGTATACCGCTTCACAGTGCTTTACAGCCCTTACTAAGCCATTTACAGCGTTAGTGCATTGCCCCCAACAATCTGGGTCCTCATTTTCCCAACATCGGAATGTTGAGTTGCTTGTGAAATGAATAGAAATGCATATCTCCATCTAGCTCTATTATCTCTATCTCTAATCTCTATCTCTATAGCTGTTTTATCTTGTCCCGTCTGTCCATCCATCCATCCATCCATCCATCCCCCCACCCCTCTCAAATAAACAACGGCTGTCAATATGGAACAGCTGTTACTAATACAGTTATCTTGCTGAGCCTAAAGTGCAATTTATCCGAGTTCTAGTGATAGTGCTTGTGATCTCTTTAGCAGGCAATAGGGTAGATAATGAGGAAGAGGAGGAGGAGGAAGATGATGATGGTGATGAAGGTTCAGAAACAAGTAGCCCTCCTGTTACTTATCAGATGAAACCACCACCTGAAGGTTGTTGCACTACCGATGGTAAGACATTAATGTTGTTTAGATGGTTAATTTAGAAGGCATGCAATAGATCAGCATTCCCCAAACTTTCTGGCCTTATAGACTATTAAGATATATATATATATATTTTATACCAGCAACAGGGACTTATTTCTTTAGCATAAAATGGAACCAAATTGTAAAATCCAGCCAGAGCTTCAGTTTACATGTCGAAATAGGTAATACTGATAAGGAACAAGTCCCTTTCACTGTTTCCCTAAAATTTAAGACCTGGTTCTAAGTTTTATTATGCTACTGGTAAAATTGTATACTGTAGCATCCTAAGTGGCTTATATGCTTTCTTTACACCAATTACCATATTATTTTAAAATACATATAGCAAAATAGATACCGGAGGCTGATTATAAAGTGATCTTTTTCCTACATTCCAATTTTTTTCCATTGTGAGGGACTACAATATATTTTCATTACAATCTTAGTTTTCACATGGTACATTTTAGATGGTGGACCAGTCATTAAATAGGTCAGACTGAAATTTACCACTTCAATAAAACATATCCTTAATCAAAATGTTTTATATGTTATGTCCACATCTTTTACATCTTTTATTTATGCACAATATGTGAAAATGTCTCTCTATATTAAAAAAATCATGGGATTTGAAAAATAGAATTTAGATCAAGTTTGATTTATAATCCATCTCCTCCCACATATTTGTCATATCCAGCTATAAAAAATGTTTTGTTAAATTATTGATTACAATCAAAATTCTTTTAATTTGTAAATTAAAAATTAAAAATTTGTAAATTAAAAATATTGCGGTATAACTAAAGAAAGAAGAATGTATAGTGGCAGAATATATTCTAGATCATCTGTAAATGGCATCATTCATAGAAAGCATACATTCAAGATTAAAAATTGAGCCAGTTCCCATTATAGATTTTGAGATCAAGTTTAGTGAATGACTGTGTGCTAATATTGTTTGATATGAAATTCTTTATATTGATCAACTACGTTATTTTTTTTAACCTGGAAATTATTTGGAAATAGGTAATTTTTGAGATTTATATATGCTGCTACATTGCATTTTTCATGTAAAGCTTTGTTTTCCATTTGGAAATGACATGTTGGCTCTTCTGATGGCAACATTAGCTTTAGGCATTAAGAATAATCTTATTTGTCACATTCTGTCACAGTCTATTGCGTGGTACAGCTTCTAACAAGCCCGGCTGTCCAGGACACTAGGAGACAGTAATATATAGCTCTACACTAAGAAAGTTGGCAAGGCACTAGAGTCTGAATGTGGTATATCACTTAGCCTTCCATCCTTTTGAAGTTGGTAAAATGAGGACCCAGAATATTATTGGGGGCAACATGCTAACTCTGAAAAGTGCATAGAAAGGTCTGTAAAGCACTGTGAAGCAGTATATAAGTCTAAGTGGTATTGCTATATACTGAGGAAGACTTAATGGTGTTCATGCTATTCCTCCTAAATCTATATATATATAAAAGCCAAGTTCCACTCATTCATCATGAAATCTCCAGAACCGTAAAACCTACGAACTTGAAATTTGGCACGTATGTTCCTCTTGGCTTGTAGGTGCTAGCTAAGAAATGATTTCTCAAAATGACCATCAGATCATTAGTATTTTTTATACAGTAATTAACGCGCTCTGATGCTAAGGAGTTCTACTCCCCCTCTCCAGCTGAAAATAACTCTGTTCCAACTGCCAGTTGCTTTATATTAACACGGTCTGATGCTAAGGAGTTAGACATTCTACTTCCCCTCCCCACCTGAAAAGAACTCTGTTCCAACTGCCAGTTGCTTCACATTCCATTACCTCAGTTCAAACTGGCAGACATTCCACTCCTTCACTCAGGAGCGGTCTGGGGCTCCTTACAGTACTAAACCTCAGTACCTCACCAAAATGTCTTCGCCTTCCACTTATGGAATTGCTTCTGGACTCAAGGCGGCGGGAGCGATATTCCCTTATGTGTTTCAATCACCGACCACCACTGAGCCAACGGATTGTGAACCGAATTTCTCCTGCATAGCCCAATCACATAGTTTCGTCACGAAGCACAGGTATCCAGCTAGTTTCATGTGAGACTATACAAAAGAAAGAGCCTTTGAAAGTTTATATGTATGCTAAATGTAACCATGACAAAATCGAGCAATCATTCCTTACAGAGGAACAGAAAATTCTTGTCAAATTTGTCTCGTCTGCCCAAATAAATGAAAAAGTTGTTCCACTAAATGGAAATACCATGCTTCTGTGTTTCAAATAATAGGTAAGTACTTGACTCACATGTTCATTTAATGACCAAATTTACAGCAGCACTGAAAAAAAGTGACTTATGACCATTTTTCAAACTTACGACCATTGCAGCATCCCTGTAGTCACGTGATCAGATTTCGGACACTTGGCAACTGGTTCATATTTATGCTGGTCGCGGTGTCTCACCGATCCCCTTTTGCAACCTTCTGACAAGCAAAGTCAATGGGGAAGCCAGATTTGTTCAACAACCTTTTTACTAACTGAACAACTGCAGTGATTCACTTAACAATGATAACAAGAAAGGTCGTAAAATAGGACCAAACTCACTTAACAACTGCCTCGCTTAGCAACATAAATTTTGGGTTCAGTTGTGGTTGTAAGTCAAGGACCCAAATTCTGTGAATTAGAGCCTATTTGTTCCACCATCTGCTGCTGTTGCCAGATTTTTTAATCTGCCTTTCTTCTTTTATTTTTAATTTTTATCCTTTTTAGAGTTGTATTTCTGTAAGACGCCCGGAGTCCTTCGGGATTGGGAGGCATATAAATTCATTAAATTTGAATTTGAATTTTGCTGAAAAGAATATATAAAGCATGTAGGGGACAATTTTCTCAGAAAATTGCACATTGCACTCTTTATATAATAAAACAATGATTATGCAATATTTGAAGGGCAAATCTACACTCTTATGAACATATGAACACAAATAGCCTCTTCTCCACTAAGAATGTTTTGACTCCAATCCAAGGTTAAAATGATAGCTAGGTCATTTTGGCTTATCAGGGCCTGAACTACACCTTGAATTACTGAGTTATTTTTTGCACATTTCCACTGCCGTGGTTTTTTTTTTTAAAGTTTAGCAGGGCTTTGCCAATACATCCTGATTATCAGCATTTGAATTAAGGAGTTTTGCCTGTTAGGTTAAAGAACAATAAAGCTTTTTGAGAAATAAGTGAACTTGCTCAGTTGGGGAGGGCCCCCCAAAATGCAAGGGTTGATTATAAATTCTGAGTCTTCCCCTCCCTCTCTCTTTTTCAAATGTTACTTTTTTCGTTTGTGCAGTTTTAAAAATGGTAAGAAGAACTCTTGATAATGAAACGAGGGGGGGGGGGGAATCCAACCTGAATTTCCCTTTTGTCGTCCCATTTTAAAGCAGATTTCATCATAACCAGCTATTTGTTAACCTTTTCTTCGTTATTAGTTATTTTTCTGTTTACATTTGTTGGGTAAACTTTCTGTGCAAACATCTTCCGAACTGCTGGTTTCTTTTGCTAATTAGGTGGGTCTTATACAGTGGTGGGATTCAAATAATTTAACAACCAGTTCTCTGCCCTAATGACCAGCTGGGCCTTTGCGCGCCAAAAGCAGGGGTGGTGGTGGGTGGGTGTGGGATGTCGTACACATGGGCAGGGGTAGAATTATGGGTGTGGGTATGCACATGCATGACCCCCCCCGCGCTTCCCCCACATTTCCCTCGCTTTTGGCACGCGATGGCAAAAAGGTTAACCATCACTGTTCTACCCCAATATCAACCATATCCAGATCTACCTATCATTTGCATTTCTTTTTCACATTTTATTAGTTTTTTATTCCCCAAACTAGTATCCCTCCACTGCTTTCGACGACAATTTTGATTCTTACATATGAGAATATGGAGATTATTCTCAGATATGGAGGGTTTCTGGCAGTGGTAGGATTCAAATAATTTAATAACTGGTTCTCTGCCATAATGACCAGCTGGGTAGGTGGGGCTCAATGGTCATGTGACTGGGTGGGTGTGGCAACTCAACATCACTCACATTGATGGGTGCTTCGCCTTAGCTGTTACAGTGTAATAAGGGTTTAACGGAGAGGCAGTTTCTGTAAGCAGGTCAATAAAGATGAGGCTAGAAACAACACCAGAATGTTTCCTTCCTTCCTGCCTTCCTTACAGGATTAGCTCTGTAAAGTGGGGAAAAAAACAAAAGAAGATTTCTTCCAACAACTGGTTCTCTGAACCTCTTAGGAAGTTAAGAACCGGTTCTTCTGAATAGGTGCGAACCGTCTGAATCCCACCACTGGGACTCTTATAGATGAGCTATTCATACACCCCAGCTTTAGTTTTGTTTTACTAGCAAGCTTGATGAAGAATGTTGTTCTTTCTCGTCCTCTCCAGGTTTCTGTCAGACAGGTAAAGACCTCAGGCTAGCGTCCATCTTGAATGAACCAATTGAAGTGCCCGCAGGATTTTTACTGGTTGGTGCAAAGTCACCAACCTTGCCTGAACACCTTTTGGTGTGTGCTGTGGACAAGCGATTCTTGCCTGATGACAATGGGCACAACGCCTTACTAGGTAAGTGGGATTGGTAATTTGCTGTCATTCAGCAACATTAGCTGAACACTCTTATCGTCTGCAGTTTGCTCTCTTATCCCTTGGAAAAGTACAATATGAGCCTGAATACCAGTACAAAGGTTTTGACTCTAGTCCAGTGATTTGATTTGATTTATTGCATTTCTATGCCGCCCTATTCCCAGAGGGACTCAGTGATGGCGAAGCTTTTTTCCCTTGGGTGCTAAAAGCGTGAACGCAATAGCACACGCATGTGTGCCGACACCCATAATTTAATGCCCCCTGCAGGCTCCACCCCTACGCATTTGTGCGCCCCCACCTGGGCTCCCCGTGCATGTACGCCCCCCCTGTTTTGGTTCTAGCAGGCCTTCCTAAAGCCGCCTGGGACCAAAAATGGGGCGTGAAGAGCGTTGCATCCCCCCATCCCCGTGCATAACCACCCGACCCCACCACCCCCGTGCATGGGTGTATGACTGCCCCACCCCCGTGCATGTGCGCACTTCTCCCAGAAGAGACCTGGAAATCAGCTGGCTGGCGGGAGGCGCGTGTGCATGCGCAGTGGAGCTGACTTGGGCGATAGGTCATTTGTCCGCAGAGATAGATCTGTGGGCATGCCATAGGTTCCATCATGGCTCTAGTCTATGTTTAAAAACCCAGTAAGGTCATTTTGGCTTACTGATACCTGCATTACACCTTGAATTATTTATGCACATTTCTGCTGCCATTCTTTTTTTAAGTTTAAAAAAGTTTTTAAAAGTTTCCTTTCTGCTGCCTTGGAATGCTTTTATTTTAAGATATGATGTTGGTAAACTACTTATTGGTCAAGCTGTACAGGTAATCCTCAATTTATGACCACAACTGAGGTCAACATTAATGTTGTTAAGTGAGAATTTGTTGAGTGAGTCTTCCCCATTTTATGACCTTTCTTGCCACCGTTGTTCAGTGAATCTCCGCCGTTGATAATTTAGTAACCTGGTTGTTAAGTGAATCAGGCTTCCCCAATGACTTTGCTTGTCAGAAGGTTGCAAAAAGGTTGACCACATGACCCCGGGACGCTGCAACAGTCATGGATATGAACCCGTTGCCAAGCATCTGAATTTTCATCACATTATCAAGGGGATGCTGCACACGTAACTGTGGAAAATGGTCACAAGTCACTTTTTTCAGTGCCGTTGTAACTTTGGATGTTCACTAAATGAACTGTTGTAAGTTGAGGACTGTCTTAGGAATCCAGAAGTCATTGTACAGTACATTATGAATATCACTTTAGCCTTAATTTTCATTACATTTTTTTATATTGTTCATTGGTATGTTTGCTAACAACCTCTGGAAGCTACTCTAAATCTGGCCTGACCTTATTGGAAACTACATCTCTTTAGTTCCAGTAGCTCTTTCAAATTTGGAATATAAATGTCCTGCTGGGTAGCCATATCCTTATGTTTAATGGGTAGTATTCTAAATAAATTTATTTTTGTACATTTATAAGATACACCAAGAGAATAGAATGGAATGGAATGGAATAGAATAAAATAGAATGGAATGGAATAAAATAAAATAGAATGGAATGGAATAAAATTGAATGGAATGGAATGGAAGAGAATAGAATAGAATGGAATGGAATGGAATAGAATAAAATAAAATAGAATGGAATAAAATAAAATTGAATGGAATGGAGTGGAATGGAAGAGAATAGAATAGAATGGAATGGAATGGAATAGAATAGAATAAAATAAAATAGAATGGAATGGAATGGAAGAGAATAGAATAGAATGGAATGGAATAGAATAAAATAAAATAGAATGGAATGGAATAAAATT